ACTTCACAAAATATGCCATCAGCTACGTCGCTGAGCAACGAGAGCCGCGAAACGCTCCCCAAGCCAGGACTTGTATTCAAAAGAGTATAAGCAGGCCAAAAAGACGCTTAACCGAGCCATCAAAGCAAGTAAAGCGAAGTTGTGGAAAGATATCTGCAACGACCTCGACAATGACCTCTGGGGTAAAGCCTACCAAATTGTCGCCAAACGACTTGGAAAGGCTTCACCAGAGGCGCCGAAGTCTCCTGCCTTGATGGAGAGCATTGTAACGGAGCTTTTCCCCAAACACCCGCCACGGGAGAAGAAACACTACACTAAGAACAGCGAAGTAACACCCTTCACAACTAAGGAATTACAAGACGCGGCCAAATCACTCAAAACAGGAAAGGCACCTGGACCTGATGGCATCCCGGCATCGGTGATCAAAATTGTAGCCCTGGAATACCCAGACATACTCCTGAACACCTACAACGCATGCTTGGCAACTGGCACGTTTCCCGCGGTCTGGAAACGGCAGAGATTGGTTCTCTTAGACAAAGGTAAGGGAACCCCCATAACACCTTCGTCGTTTAGACCACTCTGTATGCTGGACATTGCTGGAAAACTGCTCGAGAAGCTCATACAAGGGAGACTTCGCAACGACATAGACCGTGCTGGAGGTTTTGCCGCAAACCAACATGGCTTCCGGAAAGGACGTTCAACAGTCGGCGCGATCCAGAAAGTCGTAGCGACAGCAAGAGAAGCATGGACTGGTAGTTTCAAAGTCCGCAAGGTGTGTCTTGTCCTCACGCTAGACATTAGAAATGCCTTTAACAGCGCAAATTGGAGAGATATTTTGGATGCCCTGGAGCACAGATTTGACGTGGAGCCGGAGAATCTGGCACTAGTCGACAACTACCTTGACGAAAGAAAGCTAATAGCAGAAACCACGGAAGGTCCACAAGAATACGCCATAACGGCTGGCGTGCCGCAAGGCTCAATAATGGGGCTCGATCTATGGAACGCGGACTACGACGGAAATCCCGTTGCCAAAGCAAGTGGAGCTTACGGGCTTTGCAGACGACGTCGCGGCCACGATAACAGTAGACAGCGTAGAGGAGGCCGAACTACTAGTTCGGGAAACCGTTGATGCCGTCGAGACTTGGCTCGATAAACACCACCTGAAACTCGCAAAACACAAAACCGAGATGGTCGTTCTGACTCGCCAAAAATGGTTCCCAAAACCATTTGCTGTGGACATGGGAGGAACAACACTAACGTCAACAAGGGCCCTGCGCTATCTGGGTGTAATGATAGACGAGAAACTATCTTTCCGCGAACACCTCGATAATGCATGCCAGAAAGCCAGCAAGACGTTGTCTAGCCTAGCAAGAATTATGACAAATATTATGGGACCAAGAACCAAAAAGAGGAGAGTCCTTCTGGAAGCAGTCCATTCGGTACTGCTTTATGGAGCGGAAATATGGGCAGATATATTAAAGCAGAAAACCTATCGTCGGAAAATGGCAGCAGTGCAGCGGCGAGGCGCTCTCAGAGTTGCATGCGCCTACCGCACTGTTTCCGAAGCGGCTGTATTGGTCATTGCGGGAGCTGCGCCCATTGACCTATTAGCGTTCGAGAGAGCAAGACTCTACGACGCTAAAATCGGTGGCGAAAACATGAAGGAGGCAAGAACGAGGATAAAAACGGAAACGCAGCAAGAGTAGCAGGACCGATGGACGTCGGGAGAGACAGGCAGATGGACAGCGCGACTGATCCCAAACATCAACGTCTGGCTTTCTCGGAAGCACGGAGACACGGACTTCTTTCTGACCCAGCTACTGACGGGACATGGGCAGTTCAATGAGGCATATCAAGCTAGCAGTGGCAGAGCCCATCTTGGACGGTCATTATTATTAATTTCTCGGAATCTAAACAAGCAAAAATATTCTAAATAGAGCAACTAATTAGCAACAAAAAAGCAACAAATTTAGCACCATAAATAAATTTTGTTGCTTGAATAATAAGTCAATGCCTGATGGATGAGTCCATGCTAGCTTGATAGACCTAGTTCAATGCCTATCTTTTCAAGATGGGTTTGCACAGCACACCAACGTGCAAATACTGTCCAGACAAAATTGACAACGCCGAGCACACGTTTTTCGAGTGTGATCGATGGAAGGACGATATAATCTGCACCGAAAAAACAATGGGTACCGCGCTCTCCCCTGAGAGCTTGGTAACCTGCATGATCAAAAAAGAAGATAAGTGGACAGCTGTAGCAGCCTATGCGCAGCATCTCTTAAAAGAAAAAATCGCAGAAAGGGATTAGAAACCAGTAATAACAAGAAGTAGGTGTCGTGAGGCACAACATGGACTGGATTGAAGTAATGCTAATGCGGTCCTGATCCAGTCTTCCCTGTAACATCTATAGGGAAACGAGAGAGGAGGATGTTTAGTCGGTATTGTTGAAAAATAATATTGACTTCTGAGTCCGACATACCCAGGCACCAACACCAAGTCCTGGCATACGTGAATGTATTTTACCTCCTCTATAAAAAACACACACAGACACACACACACACAGACACAAGACTGAGGCCGTGCTTATTACCAGCAGAAAAGTGATAGAGACCACAAAACTGAAAGTCGGAGAACAAGAAATCACATCACAACCATATATCCGATATCTGGGAGTGATGCTTGATGCCCGACTCAACTTTAAGCAGCAAGTCGAACACGTGAGTGCAAAAGCATCAGCAGTGGTAGCCAGCTTAGCACGACTGATGCCAAACGTCGGAGGCCCAAAGCAGAGCAGGAGACTACTGCTATCATCTGTAGTCACATCAGTGCTCACTTACGGAATATCTATCTGGGCAGACGCACTAGAAAAGCAACAATCATGGAGAAGGGCTGGACCAGTCTACAGTCTGAGTGCCTTAAGAGTAGCAAGCGCCTTCCACACAATATCTATGGAAGCAGTGTGTATCATTTCCGGAACTTTGCCTCTCGGAATCCTAGCTGAGGAAAGACGGATCCTTTACCAACGAAAAAAGTCGACCACACTAAGCGCTGAGGAACTTGGAACAGAAGAGCGGCAG